TTTTTTTTGCCATGTACATCTTTAGGGGTTTTATAGCCAAATTCATAGATAATCTCTTTTTATTCCTTCTTGGTTTGATGTCATGTCTAACATGTTACTCCATCTGAGCTGGGCTGGTGCACACCTGTAGTCACAACTGCTCAGGAGGCCTAGGCAGGAGGATCATTTAAGGAGTTCAAGGCCAGCCTGGGCAACATAGCAAGACTCAGGAAATTTCATTTCATTTCATTCACCCTGCTGTGTTGCCCAAGCAAACTCCTGGACTCAAGCAGTCCTACTACCCAGCCTCCTGAGTGCTTGGGGCTGCAGGTACACACCATCATGCCCAGCTACTCTGTAACTTAACCTCATTAAGGTGTGAGGTATGGATCCAAATTAGGTTTTTTATTCAAATAAGTACCCATTTTCAAAGCAGCCTGCCTATTTTCTCACAGATTTGTAATGTCTTTGTCATATGCTAAGTTCTTATAAGTTTGGGTTTCTTTCCAGGCTTTCTAATCCATTCTCTTGAGCCATCTGCACACACCAATACCACACAGCCATTATAGGGCATAACATTTTCCCTAGCAGGGCTCATCTCCACTCACTGCTCTTCTTTTTCAGAATGATGCTGGTTATTCTTCCTTGTTCATGTTTCTATTTGAATTTGTGAATTGGTTGTCTTGTTATTTTTTTTTTAATATGTAATGTAGTTTTACCAGAATTTTGGCAAACTTACAGATTAACTATGTCTTTTCATTCATTTAGGTCTTTTGTGTCCTTTCAGGAGCATTTTAAAGTTTCTTTACTTGTTTTCTTTTTTCAATCTTAAATGCTTTCCTAACCACATTGGTGTTTAATAAACCTTTATGTGCTGCCTTTTGTGTTATGAGGTTTTTCATATGAAAACTTGTCATTAGCTCTTATAACTCTTTTTAATGAACCCTTTACTTTTATACCCTAGTTAAGGCTTTGTATGTATTTTGTCTCTTGCAAGTCTCAGAGTGAACATATTTCCAAGGTTTTTTTTTTTTTAACTTAACTTTCTTTAACTGCTTTATGACCTGACCAAAACCCTTTTCCTGGTCCAAAAGAAAAACAGAAAAATCAGACGAGAATCAGAATGACTTTTCAATCCATACACAGTTCACTGTAGCAGTTATTTCTCAAGCATTCACCCTTCTCTATCATGTCTGTATATATTTGACCTTTATCTAATGATTTTTTCATGTCTTGGATATTGATTTCCATTGTAAGCAAGGTGCTTTCCCTGTGGGAGAGACCATGACCAGCACCACACTTCCTGACCTTCATTTAGTTGCTTATAATTTAGAGAGTAGCCTAAGATTGCACTAGTTTAAACTATGCTTCTCAGTTTCTCAGTGCTTTCCAATGTTATTTATTTAAAAGGGTGTGTTTTGTCCTTTTATTCTATTAGATATGTTTTTAAGCTTTTTTTGAAATTTTTTTAAACATTTTCAAACAATTGAAGTGGTTATTTTGCAGAGAAAGTCTTTATTATTATTATAAAATATTCATATTATGGTCTTAAAAGTTAAGGATGTGCTAATTCCATTTATGTATAATTTCTGAAATTGAATACACTAACTCTCTTAAAATTTCCTCTGGCATATAATTGATAAAGTTAGAAAAATGGAGCAGACACACCTAATTGTTTCCACTCTGTTTTTCAGCCTGGCTGGGTTGTTTTGGACCAACCAGATGCTGCTTGCCACTTGCAGCAGCAACAAGAACCTTCTCCTCTACCTCCAGGATGGGAAGAGAGGCAGGATGTCCTTGGAAGGACCTACTATGTAAACCATGAATCTAGAAGAACACAGTGGAAAAGACCAACCCCTCAGTATGTACAGAGGCTTTCACATGTGTAATCTGGATACACTTTAACCACTTTCATTTTGAAGTTATGTCTTGAATAGATTCATGGTGGTTTAGGGATCCATAAACTGGAAGAAGACTAGGATTTTTATGGCCCATGGGTTTAAAAAAATGCTTTCTCAGCTATTAAAAAAAAAAAAAAAAAAAAGATTTGAGGGCTGGAGTAGTGGCTCCATGGTAGAGTGCTTGCCTGGCATGAGGGAGGCCCAGAGTTTTATCCATAACACCACATATAAATAAAATAAAAGATCCATTGATAACTAATATATATATATATATATATATATATATGTATGTATGTATATACATATATATATGATTTTATAATATTTAGAATTATTTAAATCATAAATACTACCATTTCAATAGCTTTAATTATAATAAATTATTAATTATTATATAGCAACAAAGGATCTTTTGAGACTGATTTAAAATATCTTGGAAACATTTTGTGGTTTGTTATTAAAATATAATAAAATGTTATTTTCTGTAGTCCTTTTTTTTTTAAAGAATGTTTATTTATTTATTTATAGTTGTAGTTGGACACAATACCCCTATTTCGTTTGTTTTTATGTGGTGCTGAGGATTGAACCCAGTGCCTCACACATGCAAGGCAGGTGCTCTCTCACTCAGCTCCAGCTCCAGCCCCTGTAGTACCCTTTTTAAAAAAAATAAGTGATTTATACAATATAAAGGACTCAATAATTAAGGTCTTATTATTGACCTTATCTTCCAGTCTGATCAGTGTATACACATCTTCCACTAAACACAGACCAAGGACAGAATGACCTTTGACATATCCTAATGCACGTCTCCAAAGTGACATTTTTGTTTATCATCACATTGTGTATACATTTCCAAATCTTCTCAACCTTAATATTTATTACCAAATCCCCTTCTACTTCTCTTTGCATACCGCCTTATTATGACTTTCATCAGTCTTTTACTATTTGACACATTCTTAAAATTTTTATTTGTCCATTAACCTCCTAAATTTTGATTCTCATATTTTGTATCTGATATATCCCAAGCACTATCATAGATATTTTCTGTTCTCAAATCCTTCCAAAGAAAATCAAGTAATCCAAGTTATTCATTGCACAGAGGTGTCAATATCTCTGAAATGACATACAGATTGCAAAAACAAAGATACTATAAAATTTCACAAAATTGCCTTATTCCATGCCTCAGTATTATGGCAAGCCCAACTAGAGCAAAAACGCATTTCTTTCACTATGACTGATGTCATTTCAGCTAGAAAAAAATCTAACATGGGAAAGAAATCTGAAACATTCTCTTAGAGCCATCTGTCAGACTTATGTTTTTTATCAGCTACCGTACAGTAAGAACTGATCTTCTAAAGGTTGGGAGGGTTAGGGAAAGAATGGTTAACAGGTACAAAGTACCATTAACATAGAAAGAATGAGTTTGAATGTTCTGTTGCACATAGGATGATTGGGACGAACAGTATTGTATAGAATATTTCAAATAATCTAGAAGAGGAGATTTTGAATGTTCTCACTACAAAGAATGATAAATGTATGAGGTGATGAATATGCTAAATTCTATGCTTTGATTATACCCTGTGTATTTATCAAAACACTACATGTCACCACCAAAATATAGTGTGTACAATTATTACATATGTAAATTTTTTAAATAATATTTTTTAAAAATAACATGTCTTCTTGAAGGAAATGGAAAGAATACAAATAGGAAAAGAAGAGGTCAAATTATCTCTGTTTGCTGATGACATGATCCTGTATTTAGAGGATCCAAAAAACCTTACCAGAAGACTTCTAGGGGTGATAAACAATTTAGTAAAGTAACAGGATACAATATCGACATACATAAATCAATTGTGTTCTTATACTCCAATAATGAATCTGCTGAAAAAGAAATAAGGAAATCTATCTCATTCATAATAACCACAAAACAATGGTAATTAATCTTGTTAGGATTGAAGAACCTATACAATGAAAACTGTACAACACTAAAGAAATAGAAGACCTAAGAAGATGGAAATACCCTAATGTTCTTGGATAAGAAGAATTACATTGTTAAAATGGCCATACTACCAAAAGCAATATACAGATTCAATGCAATCTCCATAAGAATACTAATGACAGAACTATAAAAAGCAGTACTGAAATTCATTTGGAAAAATAAGAGACCTAGAATAGCCAAAGTAACCCCAAGCAAACAGAGCAATGCTGGGACTGGGGTTGTAGCTAAGTGGCATGTGTGGGGCACTGGGTTCAATCCTTAGCACCACATAAAAATAAATAAAGGCATTATGTCCATTTACAATTAAATTTAAAAAAAAAAAAGCGATGCTGGAGGCATCACAATACCAGACCTGAAATTATAATACAGATCTATAATAACCAAAACATCAAGGTACTGGCACCAAAATTTGCACGAAGACCTATGGAATAGAAAACACAGAGACAAACCCACATAAATATAGTAATCTGATATTAGAAAAAGGTGGCAAAAACATACATTGGAGAAAAGATAGTCTTTTTAACAAATGGTGCTGGGAAAACTGAATGTTCTTATGTAGAAGAATGAAGCTGTACCCTATATCTCACCCTGCACAAAAGTGGATTAAAGATCTAGGAATTAGACTAGAAATTCTGCAACTGCCTTCCAGAATGGTTGCAGTAATTTGCAGTCCCACCAACAATGTATAAGTGTATCTTTTTTTCCCATCTCCTTACCAACACTTATTATTTATTTGTATTCTTGGTAACTGCCATTCTGACTGAAGTGAGGTGAAATCTCAATGTGGTTTTGATTTGCATTTCCCTAATTGCTAGAGATGTTTGACATTTTTAAATATATTTATTGGCCATTTGTGTTTGTACTCATGAGAAGTGACTGTTAGTTCTTTTGCCCATTTATTAATTGGATTACTTGTTTTGAGGGTATTAAATTTTTTGAGTTCTTTATATATTCTAGATATGAATTCCCTGAGAAGCAGGTGGCAAAGACTTTATCCCATTCTATAGACTCTTTCTTCATGCACTTGTTTCCTTTGCCGTGCAGAAGCTTTTTAATTTGATGCAATCCCACTTCTTGATTTTTTAAGGCAATATGGAGATTCCTCAGAAAACTAGTAATGAAACTACCATATACCCAGTTCACCCACTCCTTGGTGTATATCCAAAAGATCTAAAATCAGCCTACTACCATGATGCAGCTACATCAATATTTATAGTAACACAATTCACAATAGCCAGACTATGGAACCAACCTTCAGTGGATGAATGGATAAAGAAAATGTGGCATATATACACAATGGAATATAAATCCATAAAGAAAAACGAAATTATGTCATTTGCTGGTAAATGGACAGAACTGGAGACTCTGATGCTAAGTGAAATAAGCCAGACCCCAAAAGTCAAAGGTCAAATGTTTTCTCTTATATGCAGAAACTAGTCTAAAATGGGGGTAGGGGGGACAGGGGCTAGAGGGGAGCTGTAATTCCATCAAAAAAAAAAAAAGAAATATCAAGGGAATAGAGAAAGGGGATTGAGGAGGAGGGAGGAAGGATGACAGGATAAAAGAAACACAGTGGACTGAACTTGAACTAACTTTCCAAAATACACATATGAATATACTACAGTGAAACTCACCATTATGTATATCTTACTATTATGTACACTGATTTTTTTAAAATATAAATAAATAGATCAATAGAGTAGGGGAAAGGGAACAGGGAGAGGGACTAAATTGGAGCAAATTATATTTCATGCTTATATAATTATATCAAAATAAATCCTAACATTATGTATATTAGAAACCAATAAAAAATAACTTGTCTTCTTACTGTCCTGGGCTTATAAGACATTAAATAAATTTATAATAATTTTGTTATTAAATATTTGAACAATTTTTTTCTTTTTTTGGTACTGGGAATCTAAATCAGGGGTACTCTACCGCTGAGCTACATCCCTAGCCCTTTTTATTTATTTCTTTTTGGGGCTATCAGGGATTGAATTCAAGGGCATTTGGCCACTGAGCCACATCCCCAGCCTTATTTTGTATTTTATTTAAAAACAGGATCTCACTGCATTGCTTAGCACCTCGCCCTTGCTGAGGCTGGCTTTGAACTCACAATCCTCCTGCGTTAGCCTCCTAAGCCCTCAGGGTTACAGGCATGAGCCTCCACACCTGGCTTTTTTTTTTTTTAACATTTTTTAAAATATTTTTTTTAGTTGTCAATAAACCTTTATTTTATTTATTTATATATGGTGCTGAGAATTGAACCCAGTGCCTCACATATGCTAGGCAAGAGCTCTACAGCTGAGCTATAACCCCAGCCCTCTGGTCCTTTTTACTTTTTATTTTGAGACAAGGTCTCACCAAGTTTCACAAGCCAGATGCAAACTTGTGATCTTCCTGCCTCCCAAGTGGCTGGGGTTAATGGATATGTACAACTGCATATGGCACAAAATTCTTGACCTGATAGTCTGGTTATATTACATGCAAATAACTGGACTAATATAAATGACTAAGATTATACCTTTACTAAACTCAGATAAGCCTTTACTATTGTCCTTTTTAAGACCAGTCCTATGTCTATGTATGATAAAAAATATAGATACTATTTAATCCCTAATTTATTAAGTATTCAATTATAAAGTCCTTTCATTGTCTTTCATTCTGCCGTCTCCATTTGTGCATGGGGAACTCTGTTCCTAAGACCAATTTTATCAAATGAAGTGTTTGTTTCATGAAGATGTATATGTAACTGTAGAGTTATTTTGGATATACTCATGTAATAATATGGGAAAATAATAACATTATGAAATTATAAAATTCTCTGATATGCATTCTACAAATTTTTTTGAGTGTCTGAATGTCAGACATTCTCCTAGGTCTAAACTAAAATATCAGTTACCTCACATTTTCACAAGTTTTTTTTTCCTAGTTGTTGGTGGACCTTTACTTTCATTTATTTATTTGTATGTAGTGCCAAGAATCGAACCCAGTGCCTCACGCATGCTAGGCAAGTGCTCTACCACTAAGCCCCAACCCCATCCCCACAAAAACTTTTAACTCTATAAGGTACTCTGAAGGTGTAAGTGTGCCCACAATTTGTACATGTTGAAATAGCCTTTGGCTAAAACCAGTAAATTCTGACCTACTATAAGTGTTTAAATGATCATAGGATCTTTGGCTGTCATTTTAATTATCTTAAGACACAAGTAATGGCTTTTTCCACTTCCAATACAGGGATGACCTCACAGATGCTGAGAATGGTAACATTCAACTGCAAGCACAGCGTGCCTTTACCACCAGGAGGCAGATCTCCGAGGAAACGGAGAGTGTTGACAACCGAGATTCTTCCGAGGTATAGTACTCTTGTTCTCACTGATGGGCACATGTCATAGCAGTAGACTAAAGTATGTATGGCTCAAAGGCTGGGGATGTGGCTCAAGCAGTAGCGCTCGCCTGGCATGCGTGCAGCTCGGGTTCGATCCACAGCACCACATACAAACAAAGATGTTGTGTCCGCCAAAAACTAAAAGTAAATAAATATTTTTAAAAATAAAAATAAAATATGTATGGCTCAAGCTGATTCTGTTCATTTTAGAACTGGGAAATTATAAGAGAAGACGAAGCTGCCACATATAGCAGTCAGGCCTTCCCAGCACCTCCACTAGCAAGCAACGTGGATGTTCAGACTCACCTTGCAGAAGGATTGAACGCCAGACTCACTATTTGTGCAAATTCAGCCACCAGCCCGACAGCGTCCTGCTCAGTAAGATGCTCTTTGATTCTGCTATGGCCTCAGGATTTTATTTTATAAATATTCTTCCGTTCAACAACTTTTATATAAAATTTTGTCTGAAATGGCATGGAATAATGTTTTAGGGGACTTGGGACTTTACCACATGGTTGTTTTTCAAATATCCCCACTAATAGTATAGAGCAAAGTCATGGGCAATCCACATGGTCACTGAATCTTAATGTCCATTAAATAAGTGCCCTCCAGAAACCACCTGGAGCATATTTTATTCAAACAAGTTAGGTTTATTATTTATCTCAACAAGAAAGAACACACTCCATTGGTGTCTTGGTAAGAGGACGTTTGAAAGAGTTAAAGGATTCAGGCTCATGTTAGGTGATTTTGAAGAGGGTTTTGCTCTCCTTTGGATGTGGTCAGGGAGCAGGGGAAAGTCTTTGTGTATCCCAAATCTTATCTGTAGTGAGGCTAAAGTAGTGGTTGGCAAAGAAGAGCTGTTACTCATTTTAGCAGGGATGGGGAGATCTTTAGTGTTTTGTGGCTTGGACAATATGCACATTTTGTCTGCATTCAGACATAATTAAAGAGTTACCTGAACACACTCAGGATCCTGCCTGTGAGTGCCAGGCCAGGCCTTAGATGTCAGGGGCTACTTTTCTCTTTCTCAATTATAACAAGAAAGAAAGTGTTTGAGAACTAACGAGAAAGAAACTGGATAGGATCTAGGGACTGCATATGAAATGAGGAATATGAGAGAAGGAACAGGTTAGAGTGGGCACAGAGGGGAAATATCCAAGTCCAGTTGTGGACATGCTGAAGGGGTCAGACATTCAAGAGCAGGTACCAAGGAGGGTATCCAGCCCTGGGGGAGAAGAGGGAGATGGGAATAGGAGACATGGACCTTCACCCTCATCTCAACAGCCTTCTAGCCTTCTGTTCTCTGCCCCGTCCTGCTCACCCTCCCTACTTTATCTGCCATTAAAGACAAATCTAAAGGTATTATTATTCTGTTTGTTTGTTTTAACAAGAATCATTCCAGCAGAAGAGGCAGCTTACAAGCCTATACTTTTGAGGAACAGCCTACACTTCCTGTGGTGAGTTTTATCCTCTTTCCTCAATCATCAATAAAAATATAAGACTTAGCACCTTTTTTTTATTGGAACACTGAGCATGAATGTTTGACTCTGTAGCAGGGAACCCGTACAGCATGGGCTCTAGGGAATGAGGTTTGGGAGAGAGAGACAAGGTTGGACCTTTAAAGACAACCCAAGAACTGTCTCTCCCATATTTACATAGCAGAGTCTCCATGCTGGTGACTGCTGTTGGGAGATGGCTTGTCAGTTGGAGTCCTGTGCTGGTGATAGGAGGTCTGCTGCATGTACACACGATTCAGGATTCTGGTGTCCAGTTACCTCTGCTCTGCACATGGCACATGACATCCAGCTTTGTAGACTCCCGACATCTAACAACTATTTCTGCCCAGTGCGCATGAAGCATCAAGTCAGCAATCCACTGGCGTCATTAGGCTCAGTGGTCATATTGGAGTTTGACAGTCCCTGGTCCCTCTCTTCCCTGAAGCCTCAGTCCAGCATTCTGTGAAGGCCTTCTGCCTCAGAGGTACTCCCAGCCCTGCCTCTACTGTAATTTGGACCTTAAGAACTTCATGCCTGAACTATGAATTCTCTTTTGGTCTCCCTGTCACCATACTCTTCCTGACCCAAGTCTCATACTGAGTTTCTCTCCCTTGTATACCCCCCACTTGGTTTTTGATTGTTTGTTGTTGTTGTTGATGATGATGATGATGATGATGGACCTTTATTTTATTTATTTATATATGGAGCTGAGAATCGAACCCAGGGCCTCACACATGCTAGGCAAGTGCTCTACCACTGAGCCATAACTCCAGCCCCTACCCTCCCCTGCCACTTGTTTTTTTTTAAATATTTATTTTTTAGTTTTCGGTGGACACAACATCTTTATTTTATTTTTATGTGGTGCTGAGGATCGAACCCAGCGCCCCGTGCTTGCCAGGCGAGCGCGCTACCACTTGAGCCACATCCCCAGCCCACCACTTTTTTTTTAAAACATGGGGGCTCCCAGCCTCTTCAGCCTCCCCAGCCTCCCTTCTCCTTGTCTACCTACAAACGCTCCCGCAGCCTTCACTGCCGTCTGTGCTTTCTTTCCAAACAGGCTATTTCCAAGTCCTGGTTCTCTCCCTCTCCTAACTGTGCTCATTTCATTTCTCCCCTTGGAATGGCCTTCTCACTTTTTCCCACCAACCATTTGTAGTTTTAGGTGGCAACCGATATATTAATTTTGAAGAGTGGGCTTTTTTTGTTAGAGGGGTACCAGTGATTGAATGCAAGGGCACTCAACCACTAAGCCACATCCCCAGCCCTGTTTTGTATTTTATTTAGAGACAGGGCCTTGCTGAATTGTTTAGTGCCTCACCATTGCTGACGCTGGCTTTGAACTCTCAATCCTCCAGTATCAGCCTGCTGAGCTGCTGGGATTACAGGTGTGCACCACTGCGCCCAGCTGAAAAGTAGGATTTTTGCTCTTGTGCAGACGCCCCCAAATTCTCAACCACTCAAGAATGGTTCATCTAAAAGATGATCCTGCATGAGGAGAGGGCCACAGATCCTGGGCTGAGGAAGGGTGGACACTAACATGCTCAACATTGACCATAAAAGGGGTGGTTGCCCCCAAGAGATTCCCCTCACCAGCTTCACTCTCTGTGGTCACCTGTCTGCCTCCTCCACTAGACCAGAGCCTGCTCCTCCATGGTATTTCTCCCATGCACCTTGTCCTCCATACAGTGAAAATATTGAATTTCTCATTGACAGGTATTCATCCAAAAAATAAGTACATCAGATGAGCAAGGGAATCTTGAAGTGATTTATGTATCAAAAGACCTATTACAACTTGGTGGGGTTTTTTTTTGGGGGGGGGGACAGTGCTGGGCATCAAACTCAGGGCCAAATGCTCTACCAACTGAGTTATATCTCCAGCCCTTCTTAAGGTATAATTTACATGCCATCCAATCCACCCACTTCTAAGTGTGTAATTAAATGAGGTCTTATAAATTCATACCATCATGCAAACTTTACCATGCTCAAGTTTAGGAACCCTTCCCTCACTCCATGAAGCTGCCTCCATTCTTGGGCCTACTCCCAGCCCTGAACCACCACTCTTCAGCTCTCTGTTGCTACAATTTTGCCTTTTCTAGAAATTTCATATAAAGGGAATCATACAGTACGTAGTTTTATTATGTAGTCTTGGGTGTTTGACATCTTTCATTTGACATGATATTTTTCAAATCTGATTGCATGTCACAGTAGTTCATTGTTACTTCATTGTGTAGATAGACCTACTTCATTTATCTACTCACCAGTTGATGGACGTTTGTTAAACTGCAGCTTCCATAATTTTGTAGTCTTACAGTTCATTATTACTGTCAGAGACTGCTTAGAGCTCCTGTGTATCTAGGAAACTGCGTTATCTAGTGAAGACTGGTGGGGATGACATGTACATTCTAAGGTGCTTTCAGGAGCCAACCCAGGCCTCAAAGAGTCAACTTCGTTTCAAAATGACAAAGGGAAGGCCAGACCTAGGACTATTTAAAGTAAACCTAGAAATAACCTGACTCCTCTTTATTCATTTGTAACAAACTATAATAAATAGCCTCTCCCAGCCTCTGGAGAAACAAGAAAGATAACTTTTCACTCAGCACCAAAGTGTGATTTCTATAGTTGAACTACCTGGGTTCAAATCCCTGCTCCATTTCTTACAAGCAATGTGTCTTAGCAAATTACTTCAGGTTTTTAAGCTTCAGGTTACTCATCAGCAAAATGGGCCAATATTAACCATTATCTCATTAAGACTTGTTTCTCAGGGTTGAGTGTGGCTCAGTGATAGAGCATTTGCCTAGCAGTGCAAGGCCTTGAGTTAGATCCCCAGCACCCATGAGAGGGGTTTGTTTGTGGGCTAAATGTCATGGTCTACATTAAAGCACTTAGTATGTGGTTTTCAGTGTTGATACATTAGTTTTCCCACTCTCATCATTATTGTCTATTTGGGAGTTCCCCCAATGAAATTCTGTATACTTTATTTTGTATACTTTAAAATATGATTTAAAATAGGTTTATCTTAAACAAGAAATCACATAACCAGGGGACTTACCATGCAGCCTACAGCATATATCTCACCAAAAGGTGAAAGGTAAAGAAAGGAGCCAATATGGCAGCCATTGGTTACATGAGGCTACTGAGTATTTGAAATGTGTCTAGTCTAAATTGAGGTGTTGCTGTGTGTGTTACATAGACATTAGATTCCAAAGAATTACTAAGAAAAATGAACATGAACTATCTTACTAACGATTATTTTCTTTGCAAATTATGTTGGTAATCCATTGGGTTAAATGAAAACATTAAAATTAATTTCTCTATTAAAAAAAAGAAGTAAAGGAGATCAAGGTAACATATTCTGTATCTTCACTGTAGTATTATATATCCATATTTATATGTTGTCATTTTTTATGTTTGTGTTATCAAAATTCATATAACTGTAAAACTTAAATAGGGCAAGTTGTACCATATTTAAGTTATATCGCAACAAACATGCTTTAAAAAGAAATCTAGTTCATAAAGTGTTTTAACAGTATTTGGCACATACTAACCACCTGGTAAGTGATGGCTATTTTAATGATTTATTAAAGCAACCAGCATCAAGCTGTTTCATAGTGGGGTAGGGAGAGGGAACATGGGAGGAATAGATGAACTCTAGATAGGGCAAAAAAGTGGGAGGGGAAGGGAGGGGACATGGGGTTAGAAATGATGGTGGAATGTGATGGACATCATTATCCAAAGTGCATGTATGAAGACACGAATTGGTGTCAACATACTTTATATACAAAAAGAGAGATAAAAAATTGTGCTGTATATGTGTAATAAGAATTGTAATGCATTCTACTGTTATATATAACAAATAAGAATAACAGAATAAATAAAATAATGTTTATCTTACTAAATTAAGAATGTATTATTTGCCCATTTTCTATTGGAACAAATGGTTTTAGTTCAGCATAGTTCATTTTAGAGAGCTAGCAGAGAGGAGAGATGTAGCCTTGTTAAGGGGTCTTTCTTGTTAGCATTTATCCTCCCATTTGTTGTTCTGCACTTCAGCTCTTGCCTACTTCATCTGGATTACCACCAGGTTGGGAGGAAAAGCAGGATGAAAGAGGAAGATCGTATTACGTGGATCATAATTCCAGAACCACCACCTGGACGAAGCCCTCGGCACAGGTACTCTGCAGCCCATCGGTTCACTTTATTTTCTTACAGGACTTGAACCATCACATTTTATGTAAGTGATTATGTCATTCTGTAGTGCATACTGAGCACTTCTAGCATCTTGTTTATTTTCTGACACTGATGCTAAGTATCTACCATTTCCTGTGGTTCTCTAATATTCATGAATTACCACTTGTTATTATGCAAAGCAAGTCCAAATGGGACTAAGAGGACAAAATAAATGATCTGGTCCATTGGATAGTTTTGTAACTTGAATGGTTAAGATTATTACTTTGCTGGAAGATAATCTTGGTGATTGGAATCTGTTAAAGAAATGTTTTATGGTGAAAATTCATCATTGGCAAGAGGCGATTCTTTTTGTAATACTTATAAGTTTTTAGTAAAATACTTTATCTTAACACTCTTATTGAGAAATTTCTTAAAATGCAGATAATGATATAATGTATACTTTATTCTCAACACACAGAATTTACCACCATTAATTAACAAGTTTCCACATTCATCAGGTTTTGTTTTTAAACATACAGGCTGCCAGCTGTGGATTACGTCCGTAATCCCAGCATCTCGGGAGGCTGAGACAGGAAGATCATGAATTCAAAGGCAGCCTCAGCAACTTAGTGAGGGCTTAAGCAACTCAGCAAGACCCTGACTCTAAATAAAATATAAAAAAGGGCTAGGAATGTGGCTCAGTGGTTAAGTGCCCCTGGGTTCAATCCTTGGTACAAAAAGACCATATATATATATATATATATATATATATATATATATATAAAAGCTAAATATCTTTTAGCCAAACTGTTGATCCCATTCTCCAGAAGGAATTACCATGCTTAGTTGGTTGTATATTCTTCTATCCTATTTTATGTATACATAAAGATCTAAACAATGTAAAATATCGTTTATGTTAATGTATTTCAAATTTTGAATGCATGCTCTGCTGTGTAAGTCTAAATCTTTTGCCCAACATTATTTTAAAGCTCTACCACATTATTATAAATAGATCTGGTATATTTCTTTTAATTATTGACTATCGTGTGAATCTATTGCATTTCAATTGTTATTTCTTTTTTTTTTTATTTTTTTAAAGAGAGAGAGAATTTTTTAAATATTTATTTTTTAGTTTTTGGCGGACACAACATCTTTGTTTGTATGTGGTGCTGAGGATCGAACCCGGGCCGCACGCATGCCAGGCGAGCGCGCTACCGCTTGAGCCACATCCCCAGCCCTCAATTGTTATTTCTATAGTGCATATTTGTCTTTTTTTTTTTTTGTCCAACATTTGAACCCATTTCTATATACAGAGTCCTCCCCACTCTGAGTGTTGGGGGATCAAAGCAGCAGGCTGTGTAGCTTCCTGCAGAGCTAAGCGCCATGCCCAGGCCTGTGGACGTAGATTTTCTCAGTCGCCTGCACCCACAACAGTCTGACTGTTAACTACTATCTTACTGAGAATTAACTGAAAAATTATAAATCATCTAAAAATGAAGTTTGACAAAACTCTTTATTTCAAAAATTGGGGAAAATATTATTAAAATGTTGAGCTTAAATTAATAAAGTGCCATAACTACATTTGAAAATGAGTCTCAGAGGTTTGGAGCCTATTTAAAAGTGTGGGTGTTTGCAGGTAAGCTGCCTTCTCCACCATTCTGTCTGCAGGTAAGCTATTTATGGTTTCTTGATGAAAGTTTACAGTATGCCTTCATTCATGTGCTAGGCCACAATGGAGACCAGTCAGCTGCCATCAAGCCAGAGTCCTTCTGCAGGTCCTCAAGCACAGCTCTCCTTGAGTGATTCTGCACAACAAACGACCCAGCCATCTGAAATTGAGCAGGGTTTCCTCCCTAAAGGCTGGGAGGTCCGGCATGCACCAAATGGGAGGCCTTTCTTTATTGACCACAACACCAAAACCACCACTTGGGTAATTTTAATACTCTTAAGTTTAAATTTACAACAATGCAAATCTCTTCTTTCTAATCTTTAAATGTGAATTAGTTAACCTGCCTTTCCTAGTATTCATTGAAAAATATATTGAATTCTTTTTTTTTTTTTTTTTGGTACTGGGGATTAAACTCAGGAGTGCTCTACTACTTAGCTCCATTCTAAGCCTTTTTTATTTTGAGACTGGGTCTGGCCTTGAACTTGTAATCCTCCTGCCTCAGCATCCCAAATCAATGGGATTACAGAGGTATGCCACAGCACCTGGCTATGTTGAATTCTTAATAATATTATTTCTATTCAACATGTTCTATACCTCTTTTTAGTATTGTCTTAGATTTTCATAGAGATACTCACACTTATTTCCTGTTTCTACTTTTCAGCTCACTAACCATAAATGCTTAGGAAGTTATTTAATAATAAACTTTTGATTTTATATGGTACATTATAGTTCCAAAGCACTTTTGAATCCATATCTCATTTAATACCAAAAAGACCTTCATGAGATATGTACAACAAATATTTTTAATTTTAAGATAAATTACAAGTTTTTTGTGATTAGTTTACCACCAATAGAAAATGTACCAAATTAACAATAGATGAATAAATTTTAATTAACTTTTAAAAAGACCAACATAGCTTCAATAAATACATGAATTAATTCAAATAAGTTGAATTCTTTGACAATCTGAATCAAGTTTTTTGTTTTTGTTTTTGTTTTTTGGTACTAGAGATCAAACCCAGTGGCACTTTATCACTGAACCACATCCCCAGTGAGAAATCTTGCTTAGTTGCCAAGGCTGACCTTAAACTTGTGATCTTCCTGCCTCAGCCTGCCAAGTCACTGAAATTACAGGCATGTACTCTGCCTGCCTAAATTGACTTTAATAATTTTTTTTAAATATTTTAGTTGTAGATGGGCACAATACCTTTATTTTATTTATTTTTCATTTTTTTATTCAGTGCTGAGGATCAAACCCTATGCCTTGTGTGAGGCAAGCACTCTATCACTGAGCTACAACCCCAGCCCTGACTTGAATAATGTTTTATGCTTCCGATCTTTCAAAAATATTAGTAAATCAGTTCTTGAACAGACGGTTTCCAGAAGGCATGTTCAGAGGCATAGAAATACCATGATACAATTTAATGTCCCAATATTTTACCATTTTTATTTTGTAAAGAAAAGCTGTGTGAAAGAGATGATCAGTTAGTCCAGAACCCTCTCTGAGAACTGATCTCATTTCTTTTAAGAGTGTTGCCTGAGAATGGTAGATCTTAGAAGGAGAAACTATTGTCACAGATTAAGAATATAAAATATAAATGGACTTTTAAAAAATAATATTTTAAATATCTGTTGACATTAGAAAACCTTGTAACATATTAACTTTCATTATTTTAAAATTTGTGTGTATGTTGTTTTATTTATTTAATGACTCAACCAAAAAAGGAAGATCCAAGATTGAAAATTCCAGCTCATCTGAGAGGAAAGACATCACTTGACTCTTCCAGTGATCTAGGGCCTTTACCTGTAAGTATATAGAACTACTGCCAGTCTGCTTGACACTATCTCATATATTTTGTATTTTTTAATATAGTTCTTTAACAACTATAAGAATGAAATGTGCAAATTAAATTAATCATATATCCAGTGCTATTTTTTATCCATACATCTAAAATAATTGAAATATATTTTTAATTATAGCCAGGATGGGAAGAGAGAACTCACACAGATGGAAGAATCTTCTACATAAATCATAGTATGTGCCATGTAATTTATCAATACATTATATTTTGTTAATATTGAGCTTTGTACATGAGAAATCATCCTTTTCCCCTGTCTTTCAGATATAAAAAGAACACAATGGGAAGATCCGAGGTTGCAGAATGTAGCAATAACTGGACCAGTAAGTCTGTTGTACTAGTGGGCTCTGATAGGGTTATCCTCTCACCTCTGTTTGCAAGGGTGAATGATCAAGGGCATGGCCCTACAGGGACTGAGACGAGAGCACATCTTCCATCCTCTCCTACGCCTCCTGCCCCTTCTCCAGTGTCAGTTATTTGAAAAAAATAGTGTAAAGTCAGTATCCTTGCCCTGTACATCAGCCTTGTGAGACTCATGAGCTAGACAGAAAGCTTGGGCAATGGGCTCAGGCTGGTACTTTGTCCTTGTCTGAAAAAGAGTGTTGACAGTCAGCCCTCAGCAAATCAGAGAAGAGCCAAGAGTGTGTCAGGAGCAGCAGCACCCTATCAATGCCGGCTATCTTGAACTTTTTAATGAAAGTCATTGTAAATACCCACTATATAAAGACTTATATTTAAGCATGAATACTACCATAATATGCCAGGTGTGGTACATGCTAGAATCCCAACTACTCAGGAGGCTGAGGCAGGAGGATTGGACAATCAAGGCCAGTCTGGGGCCACTTAGTGAGACCCTGCCTCAAAATAAGAAGGGACTGGGATGCAGCTTAGTGGTAGAGTACCTCTGGGTGGAATTCCCATTACCCACAAAAATAAATAAATAAATGAAAAAATATTACCATAATACAGTTATATCTCTGTCAAGTTGGGTTAATGATAGACAAATCATTATCCTGTCTTATATGTAGCTACTTTTTCCATTTACTCACTTTTTATTCAGATTTTGTTTTTTGATACACAAAAATAAGTAAAATGAAAATATTGTACTTTTTAAGGTTACTATTTAATATCTCAGTGTATAATCTTTTAAAATAATGGATTAAAAAGGCAAGTGCTGGGAGTTCAAGGAAAAAGTACATTTTTCAAATTGTTCCTTCAATGGAGAAATCATTTTGAAAGTCTTTTTAGAAATGGAAATTTTTGTTTCTAATATTTCTCTACTTGGAAGAAATTTTCTGTTTCTGGCATGTTACATTTCAAGAATATTGCCTGATGAAAATTGCAGCCATAGAAATTGCTAAATACAATTTTATCTTAAACAGAGAAATTAAATTTTTTTTTAAGTTTTGTATTTCTTTTCTTCAAATGAAACCTTCATTTCCAGATATTCTTTTTTTAATGCCTTTAACTTATGTTCATAATACTCAGAGGGGAAACTTATAAAATTGTTCCAGAATGAAAACAACCTAAACCTTTTTTATTTTTCCAAAAATTTCAACTAAAGGCAGTGCCCTACTCCAGGGATTACAAAAGAAAGTATGAGTTCTTCCGAAGAAAGTTGAAGAAGCAGGTTAGTGATATTTATAATAAGTATCTGGGAATTATGTCAACTGAAAATAATGGGAAATGCATTTTTGAAAGTAATAGTTTGTTCAATATTTGAAACAACTTTGAACACATAGTTTCTCACAGAGAAAACTTGTTTATTCTTTGAGTTAACTGTTGTAAATCATTAGAGACCCGTAATTATTTAATGTCTATTTTTCAAGATATTTATAATACGGAAAAATAGAATTAGAAGTTTTCTTAAACCTTGTCCTTCCTGGTGCAGTTTTGGAGGCTTGGTCTTTGTAGAATCTGAGTAAGAATAGGTCAGGTCAGAAAATCATATTCTTGTCATATCTTTGTGTTGGAGAACTTTGGATTCCTTCACTGCTTTGTTGTCTTCCAATGATATCTCTGTATCATTTTAAAATACAACTAAATGGAACAGTGCTCTTGATGTTTGTCTCCTTATGTTTATCAGATATGTTCTTTACACTTTATTCCATCTCCACAAATTCAGTGTGTTTAGTACTAGACTCATCGTCTGCCCATCCACTCATTTCTGCTGTTGATCATTTTTAAAGCTTTCCTAATTTAATTAGCTCTCTCATTTCCCCCTTTCCCCGCAGTTTAGGAACACTACCACTAGGTGGCTATATTGGGTTACAGTTTCTGCAGTTCTAAACTTGGAAGATTGCTTTTTCAAAGATTCAAGATGGTGGGTCTGCCACCACAAATTTTTCATCCAATATTTTAGCAGAAATGAAATACAATAGGTTTTTGGTACAAATATTTTATGTCTTAATAAAATCCTTAAATACAAGCAACTTTTTAGACTCTTCTATTCTGGAAATTTGTTTCCTATGTCTAGGCCTTGGGATTTTAAATCTTTGTTGACGTATTTTTCTGGGAAATGTTTTTATTCTTAGTGCGAGTTTCTCCATTTGCCGCTCTGAGCTCTTATCAACATATTAGGATACCCGTTAATGTCAGCTAGGCACAGAGATAAGAGACAAGGCCTTTGTTAACAGGCCACAGAAGCCATAATGAAAATAAGATAATTTATTGATCTTTCATAACATGCTAGGCATTCTTTTTAGCAGGTTGCATGTATTATTTATTTAATCTCTATAGTAGTTCTGTAAAGAAAGGACTATTATCACATTTTACAGGTGAGGAAACTGAGACACGTAGAGGTAGGCCATGTGATCAAGTCTCACATTTATTAAGTGGAAAAGCCAGATTCAAACTACATGGTCTGGCTCCAGGTCCATGTTCCTGACCAACAGGACATATCATATTGGTGATCAGATGTTTTGTATGGAAATTACCCAGAATGTGGAAAGAGATAAGCATATGAAAGGAAGGTTAAGTGACCTAGTGTCATTCCAGGAGATTCAAGGCCACAGAGAGAAGACTGAGAATCTGAATCCTCAGATTAACAAAAATAAAAATAAGACAGAAATTTTTAAAAATATTAATAACCAATGTTTAAAAGCCTTGAGCTATCTTGAACATTTTCCTTTCTTTATTCTCAGCTTCTCATTAGAAGGAATAAAGATGACTAATAATTATTGTGCTCACCATGTACCAGATAGCATGTAAGCACTTGAAATGTATTATGCCATTGAGTCTTGAACAACCTGTGAGGTAGATATTATTTTCCCTATTTAACAGGTAAAGAAATTCAGCCTTAGAAAAGGCTCATAACTTATCCAAAGTCAGGCTCCAAATGGTAGAGTCAGGATTTGAACATAGGGCCTGATTTGAGATCAGGCCATGTCCTAGGTCACTGCTTAGTTCACACACCAATTCCATGACCCACTCTTCTTCCAGTACCATCTCTCCTTTGTCTTCTCTCACATGGGGTATTTCAGGGGCCTTAGTTGACCAGGGTTACACTTGTCTCCCCTTAAAACCACCCTTTACACCCAACCCCATCAGCATCTGAGGAGCTTCTGACCAGGAGGTTCCTCTGCTCAGAGACTCTGTTCTTCATCTGGTATTCACACTTGTCCACCTCTGGCCCCAGACTACTTCTCCACCTTCTTCTTTTACTTCAATCTCTGTTTTTCCTTCCCTCCCTTTTCCTTCTCTTCCTCCTACCACATCCTCTGGCTATGAAATATATCAGATGCCTCCTTCCTGATTTTCCTCAATTCTTCCCTCTGTCCCTCTCCTGTACAAAGACTTCCTCTCAAAAATTCCTTGATTGCCTCATTTATAATTAAAAGCTCAATCTTCTGTGCTTCCACAGAACATTACCTAGAAGCAATTACTCTGCTCTTTTAAGTTCCAGAATTAGTAGCATTTACACTTGTTTCTCACCTGCACACCAGATTGCAAACTCCTTAAGGCAGCAGCCACATCTTATGCCATGTTTTTATTATCTATTCCTCCCATCCCTGGCCCCATGATGGTACCACCCAGATGGGACCCGTCCCAGAGCAAGTGAGTGACTTAGCTACATCAACTGCCTAGTAGCCAGTCTAAACTTGCTCTTCTCCAATCTTGCTGTTATTTAAATTACACAAGCAATAAAGGAAACTACTTATATTTTGCTTACATTGCTTATATAAACTGCTTATGTTAATATGTTCTTTAGGGCTTTCTATTTTCCCTAAGTTTACTAAGGGTAAATTGATGTTTGTCTCCTTGGCACTAATGCTCTTTTTTTTTTTTTCTTTTGAAGTGAGAGAATGTTGATAGCATATCTTAACTAATGGTTTCCACTTGAAAGTTGCACGCAAAGCACTCAAAAATAAAATACTCTGATATATTTTTATAAAAATAAGATCTGCCCAAGCAGTGCATAACTATATTTGTCATGTAAGCATAAGATGTCCAAAAAAAAAAGTTGTACAAAGAGCAGAAGTTCAGGAGCACAGACTTTCTTAACTTCTGTTTTCCTCATTTTCTTCATCTGTGAAATGAAGAATAATAATAGCTTCTTCACAGTGTTGTTATGAAGAGTAAATGAGTTGATGTGTTAAAATGCAGGAAGCAGTGCCTGGCATAGTCTGCAAATGTTAGCATGTGTTAGTAAGTGAAACAAAACAGACTGCAAAGAGAGAGATGGGACTAGGGGAAGCCCTGAATATTCAGGCAGGCAAAAGCGGGCAATGGCTAGACTACTGGTCACAGAATGGCCTTCTTGGAACTTAATATGGAAACCAAGATTCATGAAATGCCTCTATGTGAGCATTATCATCATAATCTATAACTTCTTTAGATATAAAAATCAGAAGTATTTGTCAGTAAGCAATTAGAGAGGATGCCTGAATCCTTTCATACCACATTGGAATATCAAGACAACCTGCTGCTTATGTTTCCCCTGACTGCATTTCTGAAAGAAAAAGGGACTTGGGCACAGTGTGGAATACCGTGAATGTTATGACTTCCCTAAGAGAGAAATGTGTCATTGTGTTGAGTTGCTTTAAACCATAAGTCTCTCTTCTCTGGATTTTCAGAATGACATTCCAAACAAATTTGAAATGAAACTCCGCCGTGCAACTGTTCTCGAGGACTCCTACCGGAGAATTATGGGTGTCAAGAGAGCTGACTTCCTCAAGGCTCGACTCTGGATTGAGTTTGATGGTGAAAAGGGTTTAGATTATGGAGGAGTTGCCAGAGAATGGTTCTTCCTGATCTCAAAGGAAATGTTTAACCCTTATTATGGGTTGTTTGAATATTCTGCTACGTAAGTACCTTTATTTATATTTATTTATTTATTTGTTTTTGAGACAGGTATTACTGTTGCCCAGGCTGGCCTTAAATCCTCCTGCCTCAGCCTCCCAAGTAACTGGAACTATAGATGTATGCCACTGCATCCAGCATAAGCATCTTTAAATGCCCGTGTACAGAAGGGGGAAAAATCACTATTCTGGAAATAATGTAACAGAGTTGCATGATATAAGGGAATGTATATTACAACACCAGAAAAGAAAGATTATAACTGATATTTCATAAATGACTTTTTAAAACAGTGTTGAAGTATATATAACATAAAATTTACCATTTTAGTTGTTTTAAGTGTGCAGTTCACTGGCATCTTAAGTACATTCACTTTGTTGGGCAACCATCACTATCATCCGTCTCCACAGCTCTCATCTTCCCAAAATGAAACTCAATGCCCATTAAACACTGGACTCCCTGACTCCTGAAAACCACCATTCCTTTCTTTCCTAGGAATTCAACCACTCTATGTTCCTCATCTCAGTGGAATCCTACAGTATTTGTCCTTTTGTGTCTAATTTTACTTAGCATATTGACCTCAGGGTTCATCCGTGGTATAGCGTGCGCCATGATTTTCTCCCTTCTTATTATTTGTTTATACCATATTTTATTTATGCATTCATCTGTCAATAGACAATTGCACGATTTCTACCTTTTGACTGAAATTACTCTTTTTTAAACCATGAAGTCCAATGGTCAAGTATAGTTCAATAGAATTATTTGTCCTATTAAAATTTTTCTCTTAAATATCAAGAGAAGCATTTAGATGTTGTTGTCTTTTCAGGGATAATTATACTCTTCAGATAAATCCAAACTCTGGATTATGTAATGAAGATCACCTCTCTTACTTCAAGTTTATTGGCCGGGTAGCTGGGATGGCAGTTTATCATGGCAAACTGTTGGATGGTTAGTATCAACCACAAAAAAAAAATTTTAAATGTAATCATCTGTTTTCTTTCACTTGGTAATCATTTTAAATATATTTAAATATATTTAATTTATTTAATTTCTTACAAGGTTTTTTCATCCGCCCGTTTTACAAGATGATGCTACACAAACCAATAACACTTCATGACATGGAATCAGTGGTAGGTCTTTTTCACTTTTCATATGGAGAGATGACAATTTAACAGGCAGCTGAACATTTTGAAGAATTAGCTTTTAATGTTTCGGACTACCAATGAACACCTTCCTCATTCTATTAAGAAAATTTTCTAACATAATAAAGTTGAGGGCTAGGGTGTGGCTCAGTGGTAGAGCGCTTGCCTAGCATGCATGAGACACTAGGTTCTATCTCTGGCACCATGTAAAAAAATAAACAAATAAAATAAAGGTATTCTGTCCATCTACAACTAAAACAAATATTTAAGATAAATGAAATTGAAAGAACATTATGGCATACAGGCATGTATCTAACACTCACAATTGACTTATTTTCTATATTTATTATAAACTGTGTCCATCAATACATCTTAGTTTTTTCACACATTGCAAAGTAAATTGCAGAAATTATCAGTATACTTCCCCCTAAATATATTACACTACACAACAGTGAGATATTTTTTACATCAGTATTTGAATTTTGATCTTTTATGATGAATGGTATGTGCTTTAAAAATGGCAGCGCAGAGGCAGGCCTGGGGGGGGGAGGGGGAGGGGGGCCTATTAAAGAAAAGAAACCCAAAGAAAAACTCCCTGAGCACACATGGATTCCAAGAGCTCCTGCTAAATTCTAAGTTTTTTATTCCTTCCCTGTTACACATTCTCAGTGCAAAGCAGTATGATTCTTCATAAATCTTAAGATTGTACAGTTATTTGAGTGGGTTAGTTGAAGTCCTGTATTTGAGATTTCTCTTTAACTTGGGCCAGGTACAGACACCTGCTCATAGCTACATAAATATTTCATACAGACTCATAGGCCACATGAGATATCCAGGATATCCAGGAAGTAAAGACTTCTCTAAAAACTGCTTTCTTTAATCCTTTAATTGAATAATAAAATCTATACCACCACTATTTTCACATACAGAGAGATTTCTAAACCACTCTGTTGGTTGATAGATTTTTACTCTTGCGCTAACCTGTGATCTGTCACTTTGTAGTAATTGTATATATAGAGAAGATGTCCAACCCTTTCATCTTTCTCCCAATTATTCAGACTCTTATCCTACTTTTTTCTTCCAAATTCAGGTGTCTTTATATATTTTTTAAAATGCGATTTTTCTGATCTAGGACAGTGAATATTACAACTCACTAAGATGGATTCTTGAAAATGATCCAACAGAATTGGACCTCAGGTTTATCATAGATGAAGAGCTTTTTGGACAGGTTTGTGGATTTTTCTCAAAGTGAAACATAGTTTTTGAAACATAATGTTGTAACTTAAGTTTAGGGGTTAATACACATTTCTGTGCTCTATTTTTACATTTATTTTCCAATAACAAAAGCTGTCTCTCAGCAAGAATTGTGTTTTCTTTGACATTTGACTCATTCCATATTTATTTTAGTAGAACTAATATTTAAGTTTTCTTAGCTTTTAGCTTTTGAATGAATTTAATTTAAAATACCAGGTTTCTGGTATAACTATAATATTTATACTTTTTTATTTTTTTCACTAAAATAACATATCAATGTATCCTGTTCAATTTTAGACACATCAACACGAGTTGAAAAATGGTGGATCAGAAATTGTTGTCACCAATAAGAACAAAAAGGAGTACATTTAGTAAGTATTTTATTAATATTTTCTTAGAGATAATTTTTTACTTTTCTTCTGAGACAATACTTCTTGCTTTCTATTCCTCTATGGCCAGAATCTCAATGTTCTTTTTCTCAGAGAAATAAAATATGGTATTAACTGCTTATATTCAACATTTGCCTTGGGCTTAACTAGTTTTTATTTTCTGTTTCTAACTGGAATAAATATGTCTAAAGACTTTTTCCTTGGTTTATGTGAGAAAGAGCAATATTGTTGGTTTGGATTTTTTTTTCTTTTTAGTCTTGTAATTCAGTGGCGATTCGTCAACCGAATCCAGAAGCAAATGGCTGCTTTTAAAGAGGTATTCATTTTCTTTTGTTTGCTTTTCTGTAATTACAAAGTAAAATCTGAGTTTCAAATATTGGACCTCATTGCATCTGAATAAAATAAGTATATGCTTGTTTTGTACAACCATTCTTAATTATGTGTTAACAACATATTCCATGAATAGATGTTTGCCATTAAAATTCAATCATTTAAGAAGTCTAAACAATGAACATTGACACAGTCCCCTTCGACACCTCTCACTGCCCCTCACCTTTCCCCGGTGCCACTCTCCTTGCCTTCAGTAACCTTCGGAGAACACAAGAACTAGAGTGCTCTAAGGATAAGTGTGATGTGTTTTTTGGTTTTTTTTTTCCTGAATACAATTATATCCTACTTAGTGTTCTATGACGTGCTTTCTTCCCTTATCAAATATTTACTGGAGACCTTTACATGTCATTGCTACCCTTCTTTGTGGTCACGTTTTATTTGTAATATAAATTCATAAGGTATTTAAGCTTCCCCACCTGGCGGACACGTAGGCTATTGTAGAGCACTCTTTTTTAAAAAAATATGTATTTTTCAGTTGTAGTTGGACATAATATCTTTATTTATTTGTTTGTTTGTTTGTTCTTATGTGGTGCTGAGGATCAAACCCAGGGTCTCTCACGTGCAAGGCGAGTGCTCTACCACTGAGCCACAACCCCAGCCCCTAGCGCACTCATTTCTTAAGCTAACTTAAAAGCTTCTGTTAAGTATGTATCATGTACTTTTTCATTTATTCAGTATTGCACTCTATGTTTCTGGTGCTATGTGAAGCAAAAGGACATGGTTCCTGCCATCAAGGAACATTCGATCTAAAGTGTGAGACGAATGCAGAAGAGAGCAGGGAGAGGTGAAGGAAGGACTAGTGGTATTGGCCAAGCATAAAGAGAAATGCCCTTCTTCAGAATGAGCAGGCAGCGTGGTGGGGTCTGGCAGGACCGGGCTATGTGCACATTAGAGAAAATACAAGCAATGGAGTGAGCTGGCTTGAGCAAGCAAGAGGGAAGGAATAAGCCTTGTGAGCTGACAGCCCCAGACCTGTTTGTCAAGCTTAGAGCTTGGCATTCTCTCTGAAGTCAAGTGAGAGGAAGGATGAGGTGGGATTAAAGGCTGTTAAACAATAAAACACCAGGATTCAATTCACTTTTTATTCAAATCATTCTGCAAGTGAAACCAGGGAGGGCAAGCCTAGCAGCAGACTTCCCAGCAGTGGAGAAAGGGCTGCCTAGTAATGTAGGTATAGACCTTGGGTGGGAAGAGCATTGTCCCCGCATCTCAGTGGTATTCAAGAAGGGATATTTAAAGATAGGGATGATCTGGGGTGACAATATGGATTTGGGATCATTTGCATTTGTTTCTGGAGGCTGTGGGCTAGAGAAGACAGGAAATGAAAAAGAGTGAAGGTAGGTGGCCACCCTGGAGGCCTGGGAACCAGCATCTTCAGTGTTGTTTGTGAACAGATGGTAAAAAGGGTGACCTCAGAGGAGATTGACAAAGATGGGCAGTGTGAGATAGCAAGAGCAAAGTTTTAAGAACAAAGATATTTTTAACAATATCATACTGCAGAGAAGTCAAATAAGGAATGAGAAGTGTTTATTAGATATAACTACAAAGGTGACTTTGACTTTTTCCAGAAGAGTTCCAGGGAAGCAGTAGTTTAGATCTCAGATGGCAGTGGGTGAAGGGAGAGTTAGAAGAGGAGCAACTGGATTCAGTCAGTGCATGTACTGTCAAGAACTTGGCTGTGAGTGCTGGGTGTGGTGGCAGCTGTAATCCCAGCCGCCTTGTAGGCTGAGGCAGGAGGATCATGAGTTCAAAGCCAGCCTCAGCAAAAATGGGGCACTAAGCAACTCAGAGAGACTCTGTCTTTAAATAAAATACAAAATAGGGCTGGGGATGTGGCTCAGCGGTCGAGTGCCCCTGAGTTCAAACCCCATTCCATGAGATGACCTCCCCAAAGTAGCAGATGAAGTACCTGCAGAGGCTGACCTGCAGAATGAGGCGATTCCCTCTTGTGCTCTGCAGTGGGCAGGCTAGATGGATGTCATGCTGCATAATTACCTCTATTTTCTTTCTCAAATAGAAATTATCTGCTTGTAAAGAAAGGAAGACATCATGTATATCTAAAAAGAACAAATAATTTAAAAAAAAAAAAAAAAAAGGTGATGTGGGGCCTGGGTTTGTGGCTCAGTGATAGAACATTTGCCTGGCACGGCATGAGGCACACTGGGTTCGATACTCCACACCCCATAAAATAAATAAATAAATAAAATAAAGATATTGTGTCCATCTACAACTAAAAACATTTTTTTTAAAGAGAGAGAGAGAGAATTTTTAATATTTATTTGTTAGTTCTTGGCGGACACAACATCTTTGTTGGTATGTGGTGCTGAGGATCGAACCCGGGCCGCACGCTTGCGAGGCGAGCGCGCTACCGCTTGAGCCACATCCCCAGCCCCTAAAAACATTTTTTTTAAAATGGTAATGTGGAGGAGGAAGAAGTTTGAGAAGTAAAGGAATGTTTTAAAAGAGTCGTTTTAAGGAATAATGAAAGAGAACAGACGATGGGCACATATATTTTCTTGTCAATATTGAGATATCAGTGAATAAATATATAGTGGTAAAAGTTTATGTGAAAGTGAGACCCAGAACCTGAAGTATAAAAATGTCCACTGAGCCTGCTAACCAGGTTTTAAAATATGTATTTTTTTTCCTACTAGGGATTTTTTGAACTAATACCACAGGATCTCATCAAAATTTTTGATGAAAATGAACTGGAGGTAAGAAAGATTATTTTATATTGAAACAGAAGTTTTGTACTCATTCTTTTTCTTGCTTAATAGTTCTTATTACATTTCTTATTATGTAGCTTCTTATGTGTGGATTGGGAGATGTGGATGTGAACGACTGGAAAGAACATACAAAGTATAAAAATGGCTACAATGTAAATCATCAAGTCATACAGTGGTTTTGGAAGGTAATTTGAAACTTATGTTTTCACAGATTATTTTGTGGTAGGTTAAATCATATTTATGTCAACTCTTTATTAAGTATGCTAGTAGATTACATATAGATAATGCAGAAAAATTTGTAGCCCATCAAAAATTACATTTGGTTTTACATATGTACATACATCTTCTGGGTGTGGTCCCAACTGCCATAAATATTTAGAAATAAGTAAGGAATGTGTTTAGAATGTAGTAAATGGTTATGATAGGTTGAAATAAGCATAGTTTTTTTTTTTTTACTAAAGTAGGGACTCTTAAGAGAACTGTCATAGCCTGCAGTGTGTTCTTGGGGACCCCTGCTGTATGTCATTCAATGACATCAATTAATGTAATTTTTAAAGAGTCATGAGTCATAGCCAGGCACAGTGGTGCATACCTATAATCCAAGCCACTCAGGAGGCTGAGACAGGAGGATTATAAATTTGAGGCCAGCCTTAGCAACCCTGTCTCAAAATAAGGGATGGGGATGGAGCTCAGTGGTGAAACACCCCTGAATTCAATCCCTGTTACTAAATAAACAAATAAAGTCATAAGTCACATCTGAAAAGATGTTTTTGTTATACTTCAATTAGGCCGTAATCCCATCCTAAAGAGTTAACATGAAGGCTTGTATATAAAATTTCAAGAGCTTATAAACTATAAAAACAAATTTAAAGAAGAAAACATGCAAATTTAATAAGTAATTATTAAGTCTCTTGCTAAATTCTGATAGCATATTTTTCTGGATAACTTTTTTACTTTTTTCCCAGTACTCTTTCCTAAATGAAGTTTTTATCTCATTCAGGCTGTTTTAATGATGGATTCAGAAAAAAGAATAAGATTACTTCAGTTTGTCACTGGCACATCCCGTGTGCCTATGAATGGTTTTGCTGAACTATATGGTAAGGAATTTTCCATGGATCATGGAAAAAATGGAGTGATGCTAAATGTCTTTATGACTCATTAATCTTCAAGTTTCTATCATTTACACTAATGTGTTTGGCCTGATTTAAAAAAAAAAAGAATTTAGATTTTTAAGTGATAGAATTAGAAACACTGAAATAGGCCGTTATTTACACCTGTTAATCAAATGGAGGCAAAAACCAGAAAAATGGCTCAAGTTAGTTCCCATTTTTTTTAATATTTATTTTTTAGTTGTAGTTGGACACAATATCTTTAGTTTATTTGTTTATTTTTATGTGGTGCTGAGAATCGAAGCCAGGGCTTCGCCTGTGCTAGGGGAGCGCTCTACCTGAGCCACAGCCCCAGCCCAATTTCCATTCTTGAACTTTAAATTCTATTCCCACTATGCTTCCAGTACAGAACAAGCATTGCCGCTAGAGTGATAGTTCAGTGCAGCATTTCAAGTTCCTTTGAATGTTAATTAGCATACAATAATAAACAAAGAGTATTTTTGCAAAATATACCTGGGGAAAAGCTGACTAAGGAAAATACAGTGGTTGCCTCTGATCTGAGGGGTTTTTTTCTGTGATTTCAGTGCCCTCGGCCAGCCATAGACTGAAACTTTAAGTGGATATTTTGAAACAGACAATGATCACATGGCTCTTGTTATAGTATACTGGTATAATTGTTCTATTTTGTTATTGGTTATTGTTGTTCATCTCATACTGTGCCTAATTATAAATTTAGCTTTTTATCATAAGCACATATGCATAGAAAAAAAACAATATACACAGGGTTCAATACTATCTACCATTTCAACCTCCCAAGTCATTGGTAAATTTACACACCAGAGTGTTTCATAAAAAAGTACTATTTCTGATACAGATCTGTGTTTTATCCTTTTTAAAAAATTATAAAATAGCTGGTAAGAGTGTATGAAATTTAAGTTTGAGAAAACAATGGATTACAGAAAGTATACAAATGGAAGGCATTATTGCATGGTATTTGTTTTATAAAAAAAGACTTCTTGAAATTTCTTTGATATTACAAAGTTTTAAACTTGGTATATGTTAAGCAAACAATGAAAATAACTATAAAAGTACAAATGTAGCCAGGCATGGTGGCACATGCTTGTAATCCCGGTGACTCATGAGGCTGAGACAGGAGGATGAAAGTTCAAGGCCAGCCTCAGCAACTTTGTGAGACCCTGTCTCAAAATAAAGTTTTAAAAAGAGATGGGGATGTGGTTCAGTAATAAGGCTGTGTGAGGCCTAGAGTGTATGAGGCTCTGGGGTCAACCTTTAGCACTACAAAGGAAAAAAAATCCATAAAGATATGAGAAATAGGGCTGGGGATATAGCTCAGTTGGTAGAGTGCTTGCCTCCCACACACAGGGCCCTGAGTTCAATCCCCAGCACCACCAAAAAAAAGAAAGAAAGAAAAAAAGATATGAGGAAAAACCTTTAAGCAAAGGTGTAGTTAAATTTGGAGTCCTTCTTAGAGCAACAAAGAACTGTTTCTTGGGAGCTAGAAGTCAGGGACTGTGCAGGTAATTGCCAACCTGAATTTTTCATGCAAATAGAAGCAGTTTCTATCTGATGTCTTGCCAGCCTTCTGTCTTCTTGGCACACCTGGTCTTCTTCGGAAGCTTATTTATATGTGTTTGCTTAACGTGTCAAGCAGCTGCCGCTTCTCTACACAGGGCTCCCACTCAGAGTGGTTATTAGCTTTGCTACTAGCCAGTTGGTTCGTTCCTCACCTAATTGTAATTCTTAGCCTTTGTCTTTTTAATAGACTCACCACAACTCCCTTGCCTTTATCTTCTCTAGCCAGTTAGTAGAGAAAATCTAGGCAGCACAGACAAATATCCCTCTCCGTTTCTAGCTGCTCCATCTTCCCTCTTTTATTCAACCCAGGCCTACAGCCGTCCACTGATTTCATGAACGGTCTGGAATTTGAGGGAAATATCCCACACAGAGCCCATCATTTGTTAAATATAAATGGAAATGTGTATATAAATGGAAATGTGTATGTATTTACAGAAAGAAGTAATGGTTGCTTTAAAATAGTAGTATTATAACACAGCATAATACAGCCAGTCAAAAGTATGTTAAGTGTCTCTCAGCTAACTTGGAGTTTTCACATTAGATGATTTGGGGGAAACAATCAAAAGTGTACATAATATGATCCAATGTTATGGAAAATGATGGCAAAGACTGAAATTCTAACTGTGAACATAATTGTGATGGGCAATGTATGAAAACTTATGCTTTTGAGAAAACTTTTAATACAGAGAATACTGAATATTTTTAGCACCACTTCTGGCAATTATACATACACATTTGGATACAATTAGAGATATGAAGAAAAGTATGGAAAGTTATAGATTAGGTTGTCAACACTGATTATTTAGTGGTTGGTGGATTTGAAGATTGGAAAAAGGAAAACTAAGTGAAAACTCTGAAGGAAAAAAAAGAGATGGTATCTAGAAACGTCCACAATGGAATAAAACTGTAGACTGTAAACAGGACATATACACATAAAATTATCTATATGAATATGCACATGCATGACATGAAAATGCATGACAAGATTTACCAAGAATTAATGGTAGGATTTTATATGATTTTTATATCCTTCATTATATCTTATTCTATTACCTTGATTTTTAAAATGACATTATTTAAATAATCCAAAAAATTAAAGAGATTTTCAGTGGGACTCAAAAAAAAAGAAAAGAAATATCAGTGTAACTATAAAGGAAATCATTCATAGAAATGCAGTTGTGTTCAGTGCTAGCAAATAGGAAAAGCATTATCAGGGGCACCGTGCCAGAGGCAGAAGGACAAGGTACTCACAAATAACAGACAAGGAACTTCATTTCATGGCTTGACAATGAAGCCATCAAGCGCAGACAGGCTTGGGTTTTGAAATACCTAGGGATTCCTGCTTAGAGTAAGTAAAATTAAAGAAACTCTCCTTTTTTTATAGGCTCAAATGGACCACAGTCATTTACAGTTGAACAGTGGGGTACTCCTGAAAAGCTGCCAAGAGCTCATACCTGGTAAGCAGTTGTTTAAGCCCCTAACTCCCCATAGAACAAATCCTTAGAGAGTATAAAGTTTTCCTAAGTGTTCCTCTAGCTACAGCTGGCCTAGCCCTATCTTGTGCCGTGTTGGTGGCAGCTATGGAGGAGGAGACAGTGACACTAACCCAGACACAGGTGTTTCTTCACCAGGTAGGCCTGGTCTCAAAGACTAGGTAGTTGAATACTGAAGAGGCCCATCTCACCTGTTGACCATATGTTGCCACCATTGCATGGGTAGTGGGCTATCCCAGCAGGAACCAACACACTCCCTTTCAAAGACTGAAATGGCAGGAACCCAGATATTTGGAAATTGAGGTAGGTATAGGAGGAATCTACCAACTAGTCATGGAGAGAGTCTGTGCTTAGAGTCCAGTCCTGCATGACTTCTGTCCCAGTAAGAGGACGTCTGTAGTGCTGTTGGAACATACTCGTCCCACGTAGCACTGTGTTTGCCACAATGAGACTTGCTTTGCCAGTGTCTTTCCTAACCAGTTCCTCTCTGTTCTTTCAGCTTTAATCGCTTGGACTTGCCACCCTATGAATCATTTGAAGAATTATGGGATAAACTTCAGATGGCGATTGAAAACGCTCAGGGTTTTGATGGAGTTGATTAGGTTACAAATAACAGTCTCTGGTGTTTTTACTGCCACGGTTTTATAAGCAGATTCTCAACTTCAGGTTTTCCAGGGAACTGCTAAAACTTGGCCACTGATTCTTCCCAGATATTGGAGAAAATCATTTAAAACACTAGAAGAAATAGTATGACGGTTTTACTGTTATTTCAATCACTTTTAAGTAATGTTTTGCATTAATACAGTTATCTCATTCTATCTTCGGAGTTCACACTACAGGATATAAGTCCTGTGTGCCTGAAATAGTGAGTTTAATCCTTAACATTTACCTCTTTTGCAGTATTTGCCAGGCAGTTCTTTCTTAAACTACTGAAATTATAACTGTGAAATATCTGTGATAAGTGTCATGTGTGAAAAGTTTGATGCTTTTTGAGAAGGAAAACTGAAATTTTGGGGGAAATACTTTAATATGGAGTAAACTACAATATATTTAGTGCTACTTACACTATTTATTATCTTAGACTTGCCTAATGCACCTTACTGCCCAGATTTTCGGAAAAAAACTTGTAAAATGTGTTACCTAATTTTTTAGTCATTTGACTCATTTGCAAAAAAAGTCATTTACTTCTTCACATCAAAAGCATTTGGCTTTTGTTAATTGACATCCTTATACTAAACAAGGTGGTTCATAAGACATGTGAAGTAAATTCCTCTGTGCAATAGGTGAAAAGTACTAAGCCTTCCTTCCTCTGGCCTGTATAGCCTTTTGGTTCCTTGGTGTAGTTATCACTTTTTCAAGTTTTTAGTGTAGTTAGAAGAACCCCTTCATGCAACATTAAAGCTCCACAAAGCAGTATTTCTAAATATGCCTTGAAGATCTGAGTTAAATGTATAATACTTGCCTTTACTAGTCTCTCTTTATACTTGCACAATTATGTAGTAAATACATGTTTACAGGGTTTATTATGTTTACAGGTTAAGCTAATTTCTGCAGTTGCATTTTTATATTTTAGTATCGTTTTAGTATATAAAAAAACCAAATAATTTGTTAAAAATAACCAAAGAATAGTTAAATGCATAATTTGTACTAAATTTGTTATCACATTTCTTATATTTTCTAAAATACTGTTTACTATGAAAATGATGTTTTATTATAAATTCAAAGTCTTTCAGGCAAAACGCTACAGATAGAATCCTACTTTAACCAAATTGAAGCACAGAAAGAACACATGCATGTATTCAGCACTGACTGAATGCCTGCCATGTGCACAGCACTGTGCTAGCCCTGGGGTAAGCTTGTCAGTGACAGTGACATCAGCTCAGTCTTCATCCTCAAGGAACTGACAAGTGGGGCTGGGGATGTGGCTCAAGCGGTAGCGCGCTCGCCTAGCATGCGTGTGGCCCGGGTTCGATCCTCAGCACCACATACCAACAAAGATGTTGTGTCCGCCGAGAACTAAGAAAAAATAAATAAATGTTAAAATTCTCTCTCTCTCTCTCTCTCCCTTTCCTCTCTCTTTAAAAAAAAAAAAAAAAAATTAAAAAAAAAAAAAAAAAAGGAACTGACAAGTGTGTAAATGAGTTTGTAAACAATCCAAAGCAGGGGTGGGCAGAATAAGGCATCTAGGTTCTAGTGCACCTGCAAAGATTAAAGTGTGCCAAGACTATATTTATATGTTTCATACATTTATTGGAATGATTATATAGAAAATGCTCTTATAAAAAAATTAAATCTGTTTATCAATGTGATATCTTGGTGATATAGGAATAATTGTAAATATATGTTTAAACATTCTTATATACATACAAATGCTCTGTGAGACTTGTAAAAAGTATTTCTGGCCATTGGTATAAGTTTGTTGGGGTATTACATGAGTACCCACCAGCACCTGGTAGATATTTCTAATGACAGTAGCAAAACCACTTTTCAGACACCAAATTATCAGTTGGGTTTACAGAGAGTAATCCACAGATGAGTGCATCCTTCACCATTGTCAGCAAGCATTTAAGCATGACCACCAGCTATAGTCTTAGTTATATCATTTACCAACTGTGTGAACTAAAACAAGTTAACCTCTCTGGGCTCCTGTTTCTTCACCTGTTAAGTGAGAATATTCATACCCACCCTTGCTAACATGCAAGATTGTTATAAGCTCCTGAGAGAGAAAAAATTAGAAAGTGATTTAGTAACATATTATATATAATCAGAGGATGTTTTGTTGCTAGCCATCAAATTTTGTCAAATCAGGTGTCCCAACTGACTATGCTCCAAAAGAAGAATTTCTTCATTTAAAAATTACTTACAGGCCTGGGGTTGTGGTTCAGTCGTAGAGCACTTGCCTAGCATGTGTGAGGCACTGGGTTCAATTGTTAGCACCACATATAAATAGAAAACAAAATAAATATCCATTGACAACTGAAAAAAAATGACCTGTATTAAATAAAGATGTTGATACATATCTGATATAGACTGTGTATTTTTATATATGTGTATCTATATATGGATCTTACCATCAGAATTCATTTTCTCCACATCAGCAGAGTAATATTAACGTAGGCCAGTGCATTTCGGTAGTGTCCGCATTATGTAGAACTGAATGTGAAAGCTATTTTTGTTAAAGCAGGATTATATATGGTTTTTATAATATCTATGAAATATCATATATTAGAGCTTCAGAAAACATCAGGCTTTTTATTCATCTGACTGATCCTCATTTGAATAATACTATGACTTCAGATAGAACATGGTATTAATGAGACCAGACTTGCTTCTGCCCACCCCCCAGCCAGAGACCATCATCCTCTTCATCTCCTAGGTGTGGGCCGATCGTCCAGAAGGAACCTCTATCACACAACATGGCCCTTCATCACAGAGAGAAAAGTGTCTCAAATGCATTCTCTGCTAGAGAGCCAACAAGGTCATTTTCATAAAACAAGGACATTGACTTGTCTATAAATTACAAGCACATCATTTTATCCTATATTTTCTCTAATCAAAAGAATTTAACCAACAAAATTGTATTAGGAATGCAAGTTTAAATGGTATTTGTTTTAGTTTTATTTATAATGCTGAAGTTATTCCATACAAATATCAAGTTAAACAATCTGTTTCGATTATAAGCTATTTGACATTGTTTTTTTTAAATCTTATGGTAAATATCAAGATTAATGTATCAAATTATATTGCATACTTTAATATGTAAAATCATTTTTAAAATCTTGATTCCACAAATAAAGTTCTAATTTTAAAAACAAAACTGACTCACTTTTTTAAAATATTTTTTTAGTTCTTGATAGACCTTTACTTATTTTTATTTATTTATATGTGGTGCTGAGAATCAAACCCTGTGGGAAGCCATTCTCGTATGTGATTTGAGTTACCTCCCTGGCTGGGTGAGAGGCGCTTAGACACAACTGTGTCAGAGCCTTCCCCACCCTGTCCCAGGTGCGAGGGCTTGTCCATGTGGAGGTGTGCCTGACCACTGACCCGAAGACCAATCACTGACCCTGAACTTGGGATGCCCCCCCTCGACATTCATTGAATGGAATTTTCCCTTGACTTTTTTGTTCCCCGAATAAAAGCTCACTCCCTGGCGTGTTCTCTCTTTCTGGCTGGCCTCTTGTGTTAACCTTGCCACTGATTTGGTGGCTGGAGGCAGGAGCTAGGAGGAGCCGTCTCTGGAGCTGGGCATTAAAGGTAATGAGAATTATGTCTCTTTAATTTTAAAACTCACTAGTTAATTTTTATGCTTCAAACCTCTATTATGAAGTTCGAGTGCTGGTCGTGTGGCAGAAAAACTAGTGCCTCACACATGCCAGGCAAGTGTGCTACTGCTGAGCTACAGTTCCAGCCCTGTGACTCATTTTTAAACAGAAATGTTATCAAGCCAGGGGTAATGACTTCTAATTCTCCAATCCTGAATTTACAGCTGATGAACTAAGATGATTATAAATTTAATCAGAGATAGTCAATCTCTACATAAAGGTCATGTTCCAAACATCTGGTTGATGATGAAATATTCAATAGAAAAAAGTTCCAAATAGTCTGGATGTCAGAAACAGGGCTGCACATGGAAGAAGCTAGCTTTAACCTCTTTGTAGCAATGTTAAGTCACTATTTATAACATTGTTTCTAGGAGAAAAGGAGTTCTGGCTGTTTATTATGAAGCAAGCATCATTTCCTCCTTTCACTTAGGCACCAAGAAGGTTCTCAATAAGAAGGGAATTCATGGGGCTAGGGCTGGGGCTTAGTGGTAGACTGTTCATCTAGCATGTGTGAGGCACTGAGTTTGATCTTCAGCACCACATAAAAATAAATAAAATAAAGGTGTTGTGTCCATCCACAACTAAAAAAAAAAATTTTTTTAAAGGGAATTCACTTCTACCTCCAGTCATCCTGGTCCTGAGAAGGTGCTATTCTGGTCTCATAGTTCTACCACAATTCAGACCATAGTTTTTAATTCTGGGGACCCAGGCCACTGCCCTCTGCTTCCATCCTTCCCATTCTAACCTGGCTGGAGGATCACTAGCCCACACTATGCTTCACCTGTACAGGAAGTCCCATCATATTGTACATTCTTTTATAACACTAAAGTGTTAGAATCTCAGGACCGTGCTATTAACAGAGTCTCGGCAGGTTTTGGGGTTTTTTCCTTCCCCTGCAATCCATTCCATGCAGTCCCTCCATCCAGTGTTTTCTTTTTAATTGCAAGTGTGATCAGGTTGCTGTACTGCCAAACAACCTCTGTGAGAGCTCTCCAGAGCTGGAAGCATGAAGTACAAACCTATTAGCATGAGTGCAGTCCATGGTCAGCCTGAAGAATCAGTTCCCCCGCTTCAATCAGTCCTCACTCGGATCCCCTCTATTCCACCCAAATCAGGCTCCCTCCAGCCCCTGATACCGCAAACTCTGCTATACCCATACTGCCTGGAATGCTTCCACTTCTCATTTCTATTTGATAAATCACTTCTTTTGGACCCAGAGGAAAGATGGTGAAGCCTCAGCATTTGGTACACACGAATGACATTGTATTACAATGCTTTGTTTACTTAAACCCCCTGCAAACTTCTGAGCAGGTAGAGGACAGTGACTACTTTGTATATATCTTTTTCATCTGTTCATTTCCCAACACAAATATTTGATAAACGTGAATTTGATCTGATGAATACTGTGTGTATACAGTCAATTCAGTGCACAAGTGTTGAGCACCTATCAAGAATTTGTACCAAGAATTGTGCAATAATATGCTGGAAGGTCTGTATTTAGACAGTGACTGGGGGCTATGTAAATACACATGCAGAGAGGGAGCTTGGTTGAATGCCTGATGAACGTCAGATTGTGCAGTAAACACTGTGGATCTCATTTAATCTTCGTAAAAACTCAGTGAGGCAGGTTTTATAGGCTCAAGGACAAGTAATTCACCTGAGACCACACAGCCTGTAAAATAAGTGAATTATGAACCACACACACAAAAAAAAGAAAAGCTATGGAATTCAACAAATTAGCTGGGTGTATAAGTTTTCTTTTGATGCAACAACAAATTGCCACAAACTTAGCAGCTAAAAATACTATGTATTCATTATCTCATAGTGCTACAGTTCAAAGTTCACATGGTCCCAGCTGGGTTTTCTGAGGGTCTCAAAAGACTAAAATCAGGGTGTCAGCCAGCTGGGCTCTTCTCTCAAGACCCTTCAGGTTGGCAGCCTAGTTTCT